CCATTACTCTGTTATAGTGTTAATATAAACTAATCAGTGTCACATGATATCGACAGATGCACTTACACATCTTGACGATATTTATCCGGTCTTGCCATTCGATATCCTTGATTCACGGACTCTATCACTTCCTGTGTTGACATATTGTTGTATGGTACATCTCCTATAGTATTATCACAATGTTGATTTACTGACACATTACAATATCAAATAATTAACAAGAGATATGACAACCAATGCAACAACAATAGTTCAAGTAGCCATGTATATTAGGAAGCTAGTTAATTAACTAAGAGAATTTAGCCTGTATAGTTGATTTAATAATTTACCCCAAACAATTGTGCTTACACCAACATTAATTTAATACGTATACCCTCTCCAATCCCCATGTATGATAATGTATACTGTTTATTTATTGTCCGCTGCAAGGTTTAAGGGTGTCTGAAGTTAGTTTTAATTCAAAAATTATCTACCTAGTGTTGCTATCTCCCATAAAACGATACCGTATGACCATACATCGCTCTTGCTTGTATACACGCCGTCTAATATAGACTCTGGTGCCATCCAACGTACGGGTAAGCGTCCCTGAAAAAAACATCAATTAGATCTCATTTTTCCATTGACCAACATTAATTTAGTTATGCAATATCAGCAGCAAAGTAGTAATGTTGCTTACCTGAGTCCTTCTCTCATATTCACGTTGATCCAGGACATCAGTTGCCAATCCAAATCCAGATAATTTGCATACTTGCTTGTCATTCAATAATACATTGCGAGCAGCCAAATCCCGGTGAACACACTAGATGCGACAAAACTGAGATATTAGGAGCCAAAATATAATAATATATGAACAAGTTGTGTTTATAACTCCTAATCATCTTTGTATATAAACTATTGAAACTTACACCTTTTTCTTCAATGAATTCCATTGCAAGAGATATCTGATGTGAAAAACCAACACAATTGTGTTGAGATAAAGTGGATACACGTTCTCTTAGATTAGCATATGTATTTCCTACATTTGTTTTTTGTTCACGAAGATAAGTTTGGAGGTTACCAAAAACCATATATTCCAGAACAATGAATATAGGACCTGATAAAATGACAACAATGATACATATGGTTACATCAAAATGCAAGTTGTAACATTGAAAATAATAAGAAATTAATAGAAAAATAACATATGATGTGAATCAAAAACATATACAGCAATATAAAGTGTATACCGTCGTGTGTGCAACAGCCAATCAACGTCACAATGTGCTTATGTGATGTTATTGATTTAAGCAATTCCAACTCCCTAAGTAGTGAATTATAATACTCATCAGTAAGCCCATCTGTAATGTGATGGAAATACTATGTTAGCTACGCGCATGCAAACATTTCTCATATTTATCAGCTACAATATTGGTTTATATGTTATGCCACATATTGTATCATACCATTAGAGCAATAACCTACATTTGTCCTAGTTTCAAATTATTATAAAATAACACTCAGATAGCTGGAAAATTGTTCAAACGAAATAAAAAATAATTTCCTGTTATTTGTCAAATATATAATAATATATTGCCCTGTGTGTGTTCAATTGATAGCAAGTTTTGGCTCTATATTACATCCAATATTAAATACAAAGGTTATAAAACTGTTTATGTCCTACAACTTCTGTAGAATATCTGTAGTATATACATTGACAGAGTATACTTAATGTCATATAATACTTACTACTTAACATTTTTACAGCTACAGTTAAGTGTCCATTTACTGATTGGTTACTCGGTGTCGACGCTTTCACTACTTTTCCAAATGACCCTTCTGCAATGGTTTCTCCAAGACGAATATCGTCTCTTGGAATTTCCCATGGTAGCTCACCATGTTTCATGTACACGTGATCTGGATTCGCATTCATGCGCAGATCCTCATACTCAGTAGAATGCAAATAATTCTGAAAATCAGGTTACAGTTTGGAAAATGAGATATATGAGGCAATATTTGACAACCTTCATATCCCAACAGTGTGACGTGAAACAGAGCAGTTCGAGGCCCATATCACCACAATGTTACGTCACATACTGCCGAACGTTGTACGCGCCACCTGAGCGTTTCCCGGAGCTTCCTGCTTTATATATGGCATGATAACCATGGATTGTGATACAAATGACATCACGAACGAGTAGAATCGAAATGATATATTTCTATTCGGTGTTATTTTACCAATAATTTCACTTTTAACACTCCGCCGTTTCCCTATGTCGTACTGTGTAAAATGTACATGA